AAAAGAAATTAACTTTTTTTTTTTTTTTTTTTTTTCGGAACCGGGGATTGAACTCAGGCCCTTGCATTTGCCAGCAAAGCTGTTATTCCACTGAGCCATCTCCACGGCCCCTCTGGCTACATTTTTACATGACCTCCTCCTCAGTAGCTCTCTGGTGGTTTTTTTGTTTTTGCGAAACCAGGGATTGAACTCATGCTCTTGCACTTGCCAGGGAAACACTTATTCCACTGAGCCATCTTCTTGGCCCTCTCTGGTGGTTCCTTTTTTTTTTTTAATTTTAATTTTATTTATTTATTTTGTGTGTGTGTGTGTGGCCAGCTCAGCCCACCAGGGGGTGGGGCTGGCTGGCATGTGGTGCTGGGGATTGAACCGCGGTCGCTGTGCTTCTTCTTTGCTTAGCTTGTTCTAAATAGGTGCTTTAGACCACTGAGCCATCTCACCAGCCCTCTCTGGTGGTTCTTAAGCACATTTTTCTCTTTCTTTCTTTCTTTTTTTTTGGAGGGGGGTGGAACTGAGGATTGAACTCAGGCCCTTGTGCTTGCCAGGCAAGTGCTTATTCTACTGAGCTATCTCCCCGGCCCCTCTTAAGCACATTTAAGTTTGAGAGCAAACTATTCTAAAATAAAAATAAAAGTTCCTGATAGTTCTTGGTTCAAGGTGACAAGCTTCTGATCTACAAGGTAAAGTCCAAAACTCTGTGTGCGTGTGTGTATGTGTGTGTGTGTGTGTGTGTAGAACCAGGATTGAACTCAGGCCCTTGTGCTTGCCAAGCAAGCACTTATTCTACTGAGCTATTTCCCCAGCCCTCAAAATTCGCTTTTTTTTTTTTTCAAAATTCTTATAAGAGGGGCCAGGGATGTAGTTTAGCAGCACAGCACCTGACTAGCAAACTTGAGGTTGTAAGTTTGATTCTCAGTGCACACACACACACACACACACACACACACACACACACAAAACAGAAGATCTACAAGGGATGGGGGAGGGGCTGGAGAGATGGCTCAGTGGTCTAAAGCACCTACTTGAAACAAGCTTGGCAAAGCACAGGGACCGCGGTTCGATCCCCAGCACCACATGCCAGCCAGACCCGCCCCCTGGTGGGCTGAGCTGGCCACACACACACACAATAAATAAATGTAATAAATAAAAATAAATAAATATAAAAAAAAAAAAAAGGGATGGGGGATATTGCTCAGTGGAATAAGTGCTTGCCTGGCAAATGCAGGGGCCTGAGTTTAATCCCTGGTTCTGCAAAAAAGAAGAAGAAGAAGAAGAAGAAGAAGAAGAAGAAGAAGAAGAAGAAGAAGAAGAAGAAGAAGAAGAAGATCTACAAAGCCTTTTGAGAACTAATCCAGACCAACTACCCCACTCAGCTTCTCTCTCATTATTTCCTTCTCAAAGCCTTGCTTTGGTCACGTTCAAAACTCAGGTTTCCCCAAAGTGCCTGTTCTCTCACAACGCCAAGCTTCTGTACACTGCAGATGCTCCAAGATTCACTGAATAAGTCAGTTAAATACATTGAAATCTTTACTATGTATAAAGGTCTTGTGGCACTGGGGATACAATGAAGGGCGGACAAATCCTTGATTCTAAAGACATAAAAAAAGCTGAGCAGTACAAGGGAGATGGCTCAGTAGAATAAGCACTTGCCTGGCAAGCACAAGGGCCTGAGTTCATACCCGGCTCTGAAAAAAAAAAAAAAAAAAAAAAAGGCTCTTGTATTTTGGGCCAGGGAGATGGCTCAGTGGGATCAGCACTTCCCTGGCAAGTGCAAGGGCCTGAGTTCAATCCCTGGTTGGGGGGAGGGGGGGAGCTGAGCATGGCACTACATCTCCGTAATCCTAGTACTCAGGAAACTGAGGAGGAGAATTGCCATAAATTCAAGGCCAGCCTGGGCTATGCAGTGAGTTGAAGGCCAGTTTGAAGTACATGCTAAAACTCTAATGAGAAAAAAAGAAAAAGAAAAACCATATTTAGATTGAGGCAGCAGCAGGGGGGAGGAAATACATAAAAAGTGAAAGGGGAAGAGAACTAAAATTGCTGAGCACCTGGTATGCGTGAGGCACTGAGCGGGACTTTACTAGTGTTAATTCATTTTCTTTTCTTTTTTAACCACATTTTAATTTTTTATTTATTTATTTATTTATTGACGGATCTGGGGATTGAACTCAGGCCCTCGCACTTGCCAGGGAAGCGCTTATTCCACTGAGCCATCTCCCCGGCCTGTTAATTCATTTTCTTCCTACACACAACTTTACCAAGTGGGTGTAGTATGTATTCACTGCTACTCTCGAAAGGGGTAAGTACTTTTTCAACCACAGAGCAGTGTTTTGTTTTGTTTTGTTTTTTTGTTTAGATGTAAAATTTCTAATCTTTTATTTGTTTATTTGGTACAGGGTCTTGCTATACAGCTCAGACTCGTAATGATCCTCCTGTCTCAGCCTCCTTGGCGCTGGAATTACAGGTGGGCGCATAGCACGCAGGACCAGAGATTGAACCTGGGTCCTTGCATTTGCCATGCCGGTATTTAGACTGCCAAGCTACCTCCGCAGCACCCCCCCCCCAGCAATGTTGATGAAGCTACTACTGTATGCCAGGAACCAACACGCTGGTGCTTGTGACAGGCTCTGAGGAGAGAAAAGAGACGGTACCATGTCCTTGCTGCCCTTCTATACCCAGGTCTTTCTAATACTACAACATGCCTTCCCAGTACACAACCCATCAAAGAGGAGTAAGGGAAGCTAATCTTACCTTGTAGATCTGTAGGGGGCCTCCACTAACCTAATTGTCATTCAGTCGCTGGCTTTTGTGTGGTAGGTGTGTCTTTACAATACCCCTCCAAAGTTATGCTAAATTACAAAATTGCCTTCAGCAAAGGAGTTCCTATAAAATACATATTCAAATTTATGAGCAATACATATTCCAATGGCAAATTGGAACCCTGCAGACTGGCCTAGAGAATCTTCGAAAATCATACACGGTAAGTCTTTTGCTCCATTATTCAGGAAAAAAACAATCCCAACATTGTGTTTCTCCTCCTATCATTTTCTTTCTTTCTTTTTGACTATTACAAAAGTTTATTTAACAAAAATTTAATATATGAAAATGTGTATGACCCAATCGTCAGTCAGTGAAAGCAGCCTGGAGGAGGGGCAGAATTTTTCTGCAGAGCAGTCAATTATTTAAACTCGTTCCAAGGCTTCCGACATGATGATACTATTTCCTCGTCTTACCACCATTCCAGCGTTGTTCTGTTGCCCACTAGTTGCCATCTCCACACATTCATCTGTCACAAGATTCATGAAGGGATCAAAACCTCGCAATACTCCAATACTCCTTGGACATGTCAGCCACCATTCAATTTCTTTTTTTTTTCACCATTCAATTTCCTTTCTTTTCTTTTTTTTTTTTTTTTTTTGCAGAACCGGGGATTGAACTCAGGCCCTTGCACTTGCCAGGGAAGTGCTTATTCCACTGAGCCATTTCCCCAGCTCCACCATTCAATTTCTTTTTTTTTTTTTAATTTTTATTTATTTATGTGTGTGTGTGGCCAGCTCAGCCCACCGCAGGGGGCGGGGCTGGCTGGCATGTGGTGCTGGGGGATTGAACCTCGGTCCCTGTGCTTTGCTAAGCTTGTTCTAAGTAGGTGCTTTAGACCACTGAGCCATCTCACCAGCCCCCCATTCAATAATTTCTTTTTTAAATTATTTATTTATTTATTTATTTATTTATTTATTAGAGAGAGAGAGAGAGAGAGAGTGTGTGTGTGGTGTGTGTGTGTGGCCAGCTCAGCCCACCAGGGGGCGGGGATGGCTGGCATGTGGTGCTGGGGGATTGAACCATGGTCCCTGTGCTTCACTTAGCTTAGCTTGTTCTAAGTAGGTGCCTTAGACCACTGAGCCATCTCACCAGCCCCCCATTCAATTTCAATGATAACTTCTTGTCCATAAATTTTTTCAGCTCAGGAGGGTGAGCTTTGCTCATCTTGTCTAGTCAACAGCTCAAGGAGCCTTTGAAAGGAATCAACCGTTTTCTTTCTTTCTTTCTTTTCTTTTCTTTCTTTTTTTTTTTTTTTTTTTTTTTTTTGTGGAAGCAGGGATTGAACTCAAGTCCTTGCACTTGCCAGACAAGCGCTTATTCTACTGAGGCATCTCCCTGGCTCCTCCCCCCATCATTTTCATAGGGGTAGAGAAACTACCCTGAAAAAAAATATTGTATCTTCTAAATATTTAGTTATTTATTTTTTGGTGGAACCAGGGATTGAACTCAGGCCCTTGCACTTGCCAGGGAAGCGCTTATTCCACTGAGTCATCTACCCAGCCCCTATTTATTTATTTATTTATTTATTTATTTATTTATTTATTTGGCAGAACCAGGGATTGAACTCAGGCCCTTGAGCTTGCCAAGGAAGCACTTACTCCACTGAGCCATCTCCCTGGCCCTATTTATTTATTTATTTATTTATTTTTTGGCAGAACCAGGGATTGAACTCAGGCCTTTGTGCTTGCCAGGGAAGCACTTATTCCATTGAGACATCTCCACAGCCCCCCTATTTATTTATTTTTAAAGATATTTTAATTATAATTATTGCTTTCTTTTTTTTAAACATTTATTTATTTATCTATTTATTTGTTTAGTGTGTGGCCAGCTCAGCCCACCACGGGGCGGGGCTGGCCAGCATGTGGTGCTGGGGGATTGAACCATGGTCCCTGTGCTTCACTTAGCTTAGCTTGTTCTAAGTAGGTGCCTTAGACCACTGAGCCATCTCACCAGCCCCTTTAAAGATATTTTAGATGGGGCTGGGAAGATGGCTCAGTGGAATAAGCGCTTCCCTGGCAAACACAAGGTCCTGAGTTCAATAACAGGTTCTGCAAAAAAAAAAAAAAAAAAAGATATTTTAGAAAGAAAAAGGGCTGGGGTGGGGGAGGGAAATAGCTCAGCAGCATAAGCTTGACAAGCCCAAGGTCCTGCATTCGATGATCCCGGGTACCAAAAAGAAAAAGAGTACAAGAAATTGACACAGAAAACTGGGCATGGTGGTGCATACCTATAATCCCAGCATTCCTGGAGGCTGAGGCCAGAGACTGCCTCAAATTTGAGGCCAGCCTGGTCCATACCACAAATTCAAGCCCAGCCCACCTGCTGAGAACTTGTCTCAAAAATCAAAAAAAATAAACATTTTTAAAAAATCTACATAGACAAGAATAGCAGTGGCAGACATTAACTGAGTGATTATTATGTGAAGAGTCTTTGCCAAGCCCTTAATCCTCCAAAAGCCTCATAATAAGTATCTTCATTTCACAGATGAAGAGAATGAGACAGATGGCGGTTGGACAACTTGGTCACTCCCTGGGAAGTGGCAGAGCCAGTATGGAACTCAGGCCTTCTGACTCAGCTCAGCACTTAATTATCATAGGGCTGCTGCTGTGGAAAGCCACAGAGAAATGAGGAAAAAAAAAGAAAGTGAGAAAAAAAGGAGAGAGAGAAATTCTAGAAGCACCAAAGTGTTTTGACTTAAATTCTTGTCTAAGGTCCTGGCAAGTGTGAGGTCTTGGGTTTGATACCAGGTACCCAAAAATAAATAAATAAATCAAGTCATGTCTATCTCTTCCAGAAGAATGTAAATTCCAAAAAAAGCAGAGATGTGTGTCTTTTTCACAGTTTTATTCCCAATATCTAGTACAACTGTTGGAGTAAGTAAAGGAAAGGAAGGGAGAGTTGTATACGAAGTTTTCATTACTAGGGGTTAACTAGAAAAATGGGCGAAAAGTTCTCCCAGGTACTAAATTAAATTGCTATTAAAAGTAGAAGGTAGGGGCTGGAGAGATGGCTCAGTGGTCTAAAGCACCTACTTGAAACAAGCTTGGCAAAGCACAGGGACCGCGGTTCAATCCCCCAGCACCACATGCCAGCCAGCCCCACCCCCTGGTGGGCTGAGCTGGCCACACACACACACACACACACACACAATAAATAAATTAAAAAATAAATAAAGAAATTTAAAAAAAAAAAAAAAGAACCGAGGATTGAGCTCAGGCCCTTGCGCTTGCCAGGGAAGCACTTATTCCACTGAGCCATCTCCCTGGCCCCAAAGAATTATTATTTTATTTATTTATTTATTTTGGTAGAATCGAGATGTTTTGTTTTGGTTTGGTTTGGTTTTTTTGCGGAGCCAGGGATTGAACTCAAGCCCTTGAGCTTGTCAGGCAAGCACTTACTCAAGTAAGCTATCTCCCCAGCCCCTTGAATCGAGGTTTTTTTTTAATTTTATTTATTTATTTGTGTGTGTGTGTGTGTGGCCAGCCAGCTCACCAGGGGGGCAGGGCTAGCTGGCACGTGGTGCTGGGGGATAGAACCGCGGTCCCTGTGCTTTGCTAAGCTTGTTCTAAGTAGGTGCTTTAGACCACTGAGCCATCTCACCAGCCCCTTGAATCCAGTTTTGAACTCAGATCCTTGCACTTGCCAGGGATGCCCTAATTCTACTGAGCCATCTCTCTGGCCCTCTTTTTTTTTTTTTTTTCCGGAACTGAGACTTGAACTCAGGCCTTCCTGGGCCTCTCTTTTTAAGAGTCTCATGCTCTACCGACTGAGCTAGCCGGGCACTTGGGCCCCTCTTTAAAAAAAAGCAAAAAACAAAAAACAAAAAACATTTTCTGGTTGGGCATGGTGGTGCACACTTGTAATGCCAGAATTCAGGAAGGAGGCTGAGGCAGGAGGATTGCTTTGGCCAGCCTGGGCTACAAAGTGAGTTCAAGGTTAGCCTGAACTGCATAGTGAAGTCTTGTCTCAAAAAGACAGAAACTCGGGCCAGGGATATGGCTCAGTGGAATAAGTGCTTCCCTGGCAAGTGCAAGGGCCTGAGTTCAATCCCCTGTTCTGCCAAAAAAAAAAAAAAAAAGACAGAAACTTTAAGAATGTAAATTACCTTTTCCCTTCTTCGCTTCTCTTTCCGTCCTCTCTTGTTCCTTCTTGCATTTGAACATGTTCCTCTAACCTGTCCTCCATTTTGCTCCTTATTTACCCTTTATTTCTCCCACTGGACAAACAAGGTGAAATTTCTATTTATCTGTCTATAGATGCAGATAAATAATTAGATAGATTTAGCTGGAAAGCTGGGCGTGGTGGTGGTACACACTTGTAATCTAGCACTCAGGAAGCTGAGGCAGGAGGATTGCTGCAAGTCTGAAAACAGCCTGGGCTACAAAGTGAGGAGAAGGGCCTGGGGGGATAACTCAGTAGAATAAGTGCTTGCCTGGCAAGCGCAAGGGACTGAGTTCAATCCCTGGTTTTGTCAAAAAAAAATGTATTTGGCTGTTGCAGGGTCTCACTATGCAACTGTGATTCATGATGATCCTTCTGCTTTCAGGCTCCCCAGCGCTGGGATTGTAGGTGTGCAACACCACACCTGGACTCTGCCATGGACCTTGGAGGATGGGCTGGCATGGCGTGTGGTGCTGGGGATCGAACCCTGGTCAATCTTCCTTTCCTTTCCATTACTGGATTCAAGTCATGGAACAGGAATGAGGCTCAGTGACTTGAGGCTCTTTGTTTCATAAAACAGGACAAATCAAATGAATGGAACTATACATTATAGTATAGATACAAGCTGTGTTCTTTGAGGTTGTTTGTTTGTTTGTTTGTTTGTTTGTTTTTTTGTGGAACTGGGGATTGAACTTAGGCCCTTGTGTTTGCCAGGGAAGCGCTTATTCTACTGAGCCATCTCCCGGGCCCTCTTCAAGTTCTTTGTGAATGGTCACACTCACTTGGAGGCAGGGAAAACAGTTGGAAAGATGGTTCTCCAAGGTAACTGTCAAAAATGCAAATACCAACTCCCACCCTAGACCTGCTGAATTAGATACTCCAGGGATAGGGCCCCGGAATCAGTGGTTTTCATGCCTTCTAAGCAATTGTGAACTTCATGAATGCTTGTGAACCAGAGGGGTAAAGCAAATTTTACTCCTTTAGTAGTAATTTTTTTTTGGGGGGGAGGGTCTACAGGGTGTTCAGGGTCTCACGACTAGATCAGACTTGTAATGATCCTTCTGTTTACAGCCTCCCAAGAGCTGGGATTACAGGCGTGCCCCACCATGCCCAGTTTCAACTGCCTTCTCAGTATGCCTCTGGGGCGGGGCTGGCACGGTGGGCCCAGAGATCAAACCCCTGAACCCCGCACCTGTTTGCAGGTGCTTTAATCTGCTGAGCTATTTGGCAGCCCTCCAGCTGTAAATTTTTTACATTTAGTTTTTATTTATTCATTTTATTTGTTTTGGTACCAGGGATTGAACTCAAGACCTTGCACTTGCCAGGCAGGTGCTTATGCTGCTGAGCTATCTCATCGGCCCTTATTTATTTTTGAAACAGGGTCTCACTATGCAGTTCAGGCTTGCCTTGAACTTACTTTGTATCCCAACCAGTCCTCGAATTTGCAGCAATCCTCCTGCCTCAGTCTCCCCAGTGCTGGAATTGCAGGCATGCTCCATGATGCCCGGCTCTTGGCAGTACTTCTGCCTCAGCTTTCCTAGTAGTAGGGATTACAGGTGGGCACCATACTGCCCGGTCTATGTCAGTTGTTGTTTTGGTTGTTATTAATATATTTATTGAGAGATACAAACCAGGCCTGGTGGTGCCTGCCTATAATCCCAGCACTTGAGACTGAGAAAAGAGGATTGTTGTGAGTTTGAGACCATACAAAATATGAAAGAAAATAATATATTTGATGCAGGTAA